TTTCCTGTTATGTCTTCTGATAACAGTAACGTATCAATGCAGCTCCACTTGCTTTGGTGGAATTATATATGCGTGGAAGGAGACTGAGGTCTCACATCTGCATAAAAGGAAATATACTGGAGTAAAGTTAGTCTCAGAACTTAACTGCAGTGAGTGTTAACATGTGACTTTATTAAAATAGAGTATTATATGAGCACATTATCTTACCTCTATCCAAATGTCAGTAGCCATAGTTTAAATAGCCTTTTCCTAAGTTTAGAAAAGGAAAATAGATAATATTTTGAGCAATTGTAACTCTAATCAGAAATTTCATTCAGGGAATAAATCACAGTGCTTTTTTAATTTACTTCTCAGTAGGCTACAAGGTTGTATCATTTCCACAAAGGAATATCATTGTGTGGGAAAAGCAGCTGATAAACACAATCACACTTCTCCTCCTTATCATCAAGAAATAATGGCATCAACTGTAAGCCGGTTTTGAAGAGACAACACAGATACAACCTTCTGTTTGACAGTTGTAATTGTATTGGAGGCAAGTATTTAATGTTTGATGCATACATTCTTTCTTTCTATTAATCACATTTCTTTCACTTTGAAGCTTGTCATAATACATACAGCTATCTATTATAATATCAAAGATATTATTTATCTTCTCTAGTACTTCTCATTCTGTAAGAGTCCAAAATAGGGATAGAAGATCCCCTTATTTAGCTGAAGAGCATTATTTCTACAAGATGAGGGACCGTTTGATGATAAATATAACAGGAACGGCTCAAAGAGTCAAGGCAATTCATAATTACAATAACTGAATTGTCTGCAGAAGGGTTGAAGCCCTGGACCGCAGCTCAGGATTCCAAACCTGTATGACTTGAGGCAAGTGAAGCAGGAGATCTCTTGGAGATTTCCATTATCTCCATTTTCTAACTGGCAAGCTGGGAGTCATAATATAGCTGTTCACTGCCCTGTCTATTGGGCAACTGACCTACTGTGACCATTTCTGAACTGAGGGACTCTAGAGGGTTTCAGAGGTCCTATGTTGAGGTGGATACAGACTGTGCCCTGGCCAAATCCCAGTCTATACAAAGATGCAACTCACAGTGGCCTTACTACCTTTTCACACTTCTCCTCATACCTTGGCTTTCACAGGAGGGAAGTGTGGACACATACATCCAAACATTACACTGTGCAGCCCTGTTATATGGTGGCCAAACTTCCTCACTGAATGATCAGGGCACCAGAGAGCATCCCAAGACATTTCCTCATGTCTAGTGTAAACAGCAGTGTATGAGAAGGCTAACACTGAGCACAATGCTGCTACAGTTTGGGGAATACATTAATAACAAAGGATTAAACTTCTCTGCTAGTCTAAATGCATCCTTTGGTGCCACCTACAACCAGTGAATGCATAAATCTGAATTCTTCCATTTTTCATTCTTTGGTCTTTTGTCCATGTGGAACAGCAACAGATTAAAAGCTCAACGTCTCTGGAAAACTATATTTGCAATCCTGTTTCACAGATATGAATAGACAAGAAATTCAGAGTTTCCTCCTCCCCAGTGAACTCACCTGGACCGAAGAATGAGAGAATTAGTCTGTGCATGTCTGTACATATCTGTGTGTGCTCATACACAAGGAAGAAGAGTCATGTCACCAGTTACTAACATATAGCCATACCTCAAAGCAGAACACAGCACAGCACGCAGCAGTAGCTCAAAAAGCTCGGAGCAGCTTGCACAATGGGGTAGGAGAGGGAACAAGGAAAAAACAACCCTAGAAAACTGATACAGCACCAGCAATCTAGATACACAGAATGTAACTTTCTTGATCTGAAATACAGCCAAGATTCTGTTTCAGAGCTGTGGAGAATAGTATAGATCCTGTGAAGGCAGAATCCTTCTTCAAAGATCTCCCTATGATGGAGAAAAGAGTGGCTAAATGACTCAGGGCAGGAGGGACCAAATGAGCTGTTGGTGATGGATCCCAGCGGAAAGAAAACTAATGGAAGGTAACTCACACAGGATTTCCAACTGTCTGCAGGTTCTGCACAAACACTAATTTTCATCCTTTATTTACATAATATATGTAGTGTGTAGTTTACAAACTACATGTGTAGTTTACATATACGTATGCCTATATATTTTTTGATGAAACTACTTGTTTCCAGTACTGTGCATTCCACCACGTCAAAGATACGATTGCTTGCAGGAAAGCAAGGCCAGTTTCTTCTTGTCTACCACTCCCTGAATTCGACTGAATCCTTTGGAGAGAGGGAGAAACGGAGATGTTCTCTTTTTCCTCAGAGTGAAGATGCTGAGCTTAAGGGAACCTTCTGAAGCACAGAGGCAGGCAGGAAAGGAGAAATTCACTGAGGAAAGGGCATAAAGCAGCGATAGAGACTGTGAAACTTCTAAGAGAAGTGAGGGGGCAGCCTCCAAGAGGATGCAGAGCCACATCCAAACCTTAGGGTGCAGTTCCAGGTTACCTGCCTGCAATTGCTGGAGGAGTTGATCCTGCTCCTTCACCTGCCAATTTCAGAGAAAACTAACCTAGCAAAAAAGAAATTACTGGTTTTCCATCAGCAGCAAGTTAAGCCTACTTACCCTGCAACCAAGCATTGTCACAGCCTACACAAAAGAAACTGCAGAAGCATTTGTTTGAAAGTGCAAGGGAAAAAGTAGGAACAACCATTTCAGCAGCAAGCGATTTTAGAGGTGGCTTGAAATGGTACCCTGAGAGGTGATGGAAAGACAGACATTTCCCTAGGAACCCAGAAGAGGGTGTATGGATTTGTTTAAACCTAGAAAGTCAATGAAAGTTGCGGGACTGGGGAAAAGGACCAGTCCTGCAATGAACACAGTAGGTAGGTGAGAGATATGCTTTATTTCATCTGTTCTAACTAAAAAACACTGTGAGTTATTTTCATATCCTAATTTATTATTTTCTATTCTAAACAGAACATTGATTTAAAGATTGAAAGCCTTTTACGTTCATTTGGACATGGAAGCCTTTCCATGTTCATTTAAAAGATAGGGGGAAGAAATTCCAGTTCCAGGTCCAGTGAGGAAAACTCTGAGCAGGCCTTTTAGAGAGGCTAGCAGGAGACCTGTCAGTAATGCAAGATGCCCACAATGACCTTTCCAATTAAACTACTGGCCACTGCACTCCCAGGAGCTGGCAGATGCTGTTCAACTTCATGCAGTCTTTTCTTCCAGCTAGGACCTAGATGAAAAATGTCCTTGCCTGCTTAGCCCATTCTTCAGCTGAATGAACATTCCAGTTTTAATTGCCTACTGAGATACAAGCTTCTTGCAGCAGCAGTAAATAAGTTATCACCAACAACACATCTAGGGATCCATTATGTCTAGTCAATATCGGAGAAAGCACAGCTTGAATAAGAATAGCCAGTCTGGACTCAGATTAGTGAGACAGTGACTAACTCATTAAAAAAAAATCATACATATTTTGCCAAAACTAAATGAAACAGATTTAATGGGCACCAAGGCAACGTTCATTCTTGCTGTATTCCCATTATCACCAGTGGCTTCACATCAGAGATACATTTGGCTGGATTTCTTTAGATTTGCAGGAAGTGCTTTACAAACTCCCATATCCCATCTGGAGTTACTGTTGAGAGCTGACAAAGAGGTATGAAATACAATGGTTGCTGGCACAGTACATTCAAAATAATCTGAAGTGTAGGAGAGAAGGAAATTCCTATAGCTGCATTTTCAGTAAGCTAAAAATGAAACTACATAGACTACAGATAACCAACAGGACACTACTGAGACCAAAATGGGGGTGCATATATTTGTATTGTTTATTTAAAGGATCCTACAAACTGGCAAATGAGGCAATAACACCCAAATCTGCTGTTGATATTAAAATGATACTTAAATTCAGAGACATAATACATAGCAAGGGACAATCCATTGGCATAGAGAACTTGTGCTATTTAGACCTAGAACCTGGATTAGCAGATGGCAAATGCTGCAGTACGGATAAATATACATGAATTTATTATACAACAAAGGAGCAAAAGGGGGGAGGGTTTAAAAGTGCTTGAGCGTATCGATCAAGGCACAGTTAGAGCATGTTAGTAGAAAAATCCCTGAAGTTTTATTTCATTTTGCAGATGGCCCTAGGTAGGGAACTAGCTGCCAGTTATTCTGGTTTTGGTAATGCTATCAAGCTTAGTTCATGCATGTTTATATGTGTAAAACACCTGGCAATATTTGGAACAAAGAAATGTAAACAAGCATGTTATTATTATTAAATACAATCAGATGAGTTATCATTACCAGGTGTTTGCTCAGTAAAATATTTTCAGTCAAGAAACAATGGAGACTAGCTTTATATTGAGTAGTTTTTATATCATTAAAATGTATATGCTAAGCTACAAGCTGGTGACAATTTCGAAACAATTGAAATGAGCTAGCATGATTCGGATTTCTTTCAAAATTCACTCTCTACTGGTAAGAATTGTTCTTCTCTTGAATATTTTGTTTTACTTCCTTTTGACTCATTCCTCTTTTTTTCACAGATGAAGGTGATGTGTTTGTACGTTTGACTTTCGCAGTTCAATCTGAAATATATCACATTGCATCATGAGACACCTTGTGAGACCACCAAAACTACAGCCATGGTTGGATGTCCAATTACAGAGAGGATGAACAGGAAATTCTTATTCTTTTTTTTTTGTTTTTCTTTTTGGTAATACCAAAAAAAGATGACATCAGGTGAAATTATCATCTAGAATGTTCCAAAAAGCCAAAAGGAAATACATCTTCACAGCTCATAATTAAGCTGTGTAGCCTATTACAAAGGATTAGAGCAGGGCCAAAGCTTACGGATTCCAAAGCCAAAGCTTATGGATTCCAAAAGACATTATTCAAAATCATGGGGGGAAAATCATTAAAGACAATTAAACACAAAGGTGCTGCCTCTAACTAAACATATCCCTGAGCTGCACATTGCTGGAAGCTGCAGAACGGTTTAAAAGTGCTTGAGCGTATCGATCAAGGCACAGTTAGAGCATGTTAGTAGAAAAATCCCTGAAGTTTTATTTCATTTTGCAGATGGCCCTAGGTAGGGAACTAGCTGCCAGTTATTCTGGTTTTGGTAATGCTATCAAGCTTAGTTCATGCATGTTTATATGTGTAAAACACCTGGCAATATTTGGAACAAAGAAATGTAAACAAGCATGTTATTATTATTAAATACAATCAGATGAGTTATCATTACCAGGTGTTTGCTCAGTAAAATATTTTCAGTCAAGAAACAATGGAGACTAGCTTTATATTGAGTAGTTTTTATATCATTAAAATGTATATGCTAAGCTACAAGCTGGTGACAATTTCGAAACAATTGAAATGAGCTAGCATGATTCGGATTTCTTTCAAAATTCACTCTCTACTGGTAAGAACTGTTCTTCTCTTGAATATTTTGTTTTACTTCCTTTTGACTCATTCCTCTTTTTTTCACAGATGAAGGTGATGTGTTTGTACGTTTGACTTTCGCAGTTCAATCTGAAATATATCACATTGCATCATGAGACACCTTGTGAGACCACCAAAACTACAGCCATGGTTGGATGTCCAATTACAAATATCAAATCACATACAGAAATGTCAGGTTTTAAAATTAGCTTTTTTAAAAAAAGTTGATACCTAGTAATCAACTCCTACGGCAAAGTATACACATTGCTGCCAATCAGGGACAAGATAATGATGGATAACAATTGTGACAAGGTAGTAAAAATCAGATTCAGAGTCTGCCAGGACTGGAAACACCATAATAATAAGAGAATTTAATTATTCTCATGTAGATTTAAATGTCATACTGGGGTATTTTTAGACCCTTTGAACGACTGTTTCATGGATAAGCTAGTCAGGGAACTCAAAGGGGAGAATCAGGTTTCGACTTTCTTCTATGCGTTTTCGGCCTGTGTCACAATGTCACTATCAAGGATTCATTCTGTGATAATAACTGAAATGTGTCTATCTTCAAAATTCTTGCAGAAAGCATAAGCATCCTCTGCATCAGTGTTTAACTCCAAAATGTCACGTAAGCAACAGACAAAAAAGCTAACTGAACGTTAGAAATTATTAGGTGCAGAACAGAGAACCAAACAGGAAATAATGAGCATGTCACTGTATAAATCCAAGGTGTCTCAGCATCTTAAACACTGCATGTAGTTCTGGTGCAGCTCTATTTCCAAAGATAGAGTTGAGCTAGAAAAATTAAAGTTGTAAAGATGATTAAAAGGTTAGGTCTTCTTCAGCCTGGAAGAGCAATTGCAGAGGAATATAACTGTGAATGGTAAAATCTGTAGCACAGAGAGGATGAACAGGAAATTCTTATTCTTTTTTTTTGTTTTTCTTTTTGGTAATACCAAAAAAAGATGACATCAGGTGAAATTATCATCTAGAATGTTCCAAAAAGCCAAAAGGAAATACATCTTCACAGCTCATAATTAAGCTGTGTAGCCTATTACAAAGGATTAGAGCAGGGCCAAAGCTTACGGATTCCAAAGCCAAAGCTTATGGATTCCAAAAGACATTATTCAAAATCATGGGGGGAAAATCATTAAAGACAATTAAACACAAAGGTGCTGCCTCTAACTAAACATATCCCTGAGCTGCACATTGCTGGAAGCTGCAGAACTATCCTAAGGGAGAATCATTCTATGTTTGTGCTGGTTTTGTGCTGGGCATCCAGTACTGGCCACTACGATGGCATAGTAGGCTAGCTAGATCTTTGGTCTGATCCAGGATAGACATTTTTCTCTTCTTATGTCCCTAAACTTTACTGGAAATGCCTAGAACATAAACTTGTGATGTATAACACCCACCCGTGTCTATGCTAACAACAAAACTCAAAAAAGAGAAAGATTCATAGAAACTGAAAATTGTAAGAAACAAGGCAGTTATTTATATTCCAGGACCGGTTGCATTTATTTTGAGCCAGGAACAGGTTGAACTGTACCTTTCCTGACCTGGTTCACCCATGACAAATTATTATAAAAAATGTGCCTGTAAAAAAGTTAATGAGTCTGATTCCTTATGGAAAAAAAGAGTAATATGAGTTTAGTGAAAAATGACTCTGTTCATACAGAAGCTCTCAACAGCAGTTCCTGCTGGACATCTGGAACTATGTTAGACCTGCTCGTCTTACACAGAGATCACTTACGAGCTGTTCTGGCAACTAGAGGCCATCTGAGACTTTCCTTTCTTGAGGAAACAAGCCAGCCAGCTTTGTGACTGCCAAAGAAGAGTTCCAGAGCCAACCCAAAATGAATATGCATGTACACTTTGGTTTTCTTCCAACTTACGTATTAGTTTATTCTGTCATTTTCTTAAGGTGACTGGTCTGGATGCATTAATCTGGCATTATGCAAATGAGTATCTAGTATAATAGAAGATCTTCCATGTCTGCATCCTAAGTTTGTGGAAAAGCAGTATTATATAGAAATAGTCTCCCATCATGCAGTAAATAACATAGTAAAAGCAGGTTAGATAGACATCTGTGGTGTTTTACATATAGCTAAGCCTACTTCACAGCAGGAAATGTAGTAGATGTCCTCCTCAGGTCCCTTCTGCCCTGTGTTCTACAACTTTAATAAATCTAATAGGAAAAGTAAGAAATAAGGATATTTTAAGGAAGCTAATAACTTTAATTTTGCAGGGTTTCTTCAGGGCTCTTATTTCACAAAATTTTAGTTTTAATTCGAAAGATGCTTCAATTGGTGGAAAATACCACCAATAAAGACTTTCCATTAACACTACAAAGAAAGACTGTTTTGAAATGCTCCTCTACCGTGTCCTTCAATAGCCATCTCGTACACCTCAAAATTAGCAGCCAAAATATAAAAATGGTTTTCAATTTCCAGGTGCCCATATTTCTTTAGGAATAGTTTTTAATTCTTCCATCCCTGCCTTGTAGATAAAGATGATGCAACAGCCATTTGGTTGTATTGTTTAGTTATATCTCAAGATGAAGACAAAGACCTCGCATTATAAGTAGCACCTCGCAAAACAGGAACCTGATAAAATTCAGATCCTCTGGGTGATATTGCATGTAATAACAACTCCAGTAAAAATTAGTATTGTGCTCCTGTGTCAACAATTTAAGAGCACTCATGCCTCCACCTACATATACAACATGTTCTTTTACTACAGTGACCAAAATGCTAATGCATGGAAAAACAACTACCATCTGAAACAGCTGAATAAATGTGTTACTCAGAGCAGATTACTGAAATTAGCTCTGCTTCATTCTTTTCATTCCCAACCTTGCACACAAGTCACATCACACTGTTGCTCTTTTTCGCACAGCATCTGATAAGAGCATTTGCATATATCTTCCTGCTTCTTTCCTAGCTGTCTCCCCAGCGTCCAGATCATTCAAAAACTGACAGATACAGAGCACTGTCCTTGTTCCAATACTGGTTACGTGCATCTCTGAGCCTAAAAAGAAAAAAAAAACTGTTATTATATTTAGATTTATATTGTTCCACTTGATGATTAAAGGAGATCAGGAGTCAAGGGATAAAAAAGGGAACATGGAACTGAAAAGAAAAGAAACGATGAGGCCCTTAGGCACAGGCAATTGCCTAGGGCAGCAGGTCAAGACAGCAAACAGTCCAATACACTGGCCATGCTGCCTACTTTGTTGCCGCTTAAAAGAAGCATTAGCCATGCTTCCCTACTGCTCATTTTTACCTCCTTTGCTAGCAAGCCTTGAGCCAATTTATTGTGGAAGAGGAGAGTGGTCAAGTGAACATTATACACAAGACACTGATCAGTGCTGGACAGGACAAAAAGAGTTTTACCACGTCCCCCCAAAACTTACTGCCCCACTCCAGTTCATAGTGTGAACAGCAGCTGATCTTGCCCCAGGACACAAGGAATCTGCAAAGAGTTGTAAAATCCAGGCTTAACTCTGTCTCTCCTACTCTTGCTCACTGAAAACATCATCCGAAGAGAGTTGTGCACCCAGGCTCTCACCCGACCACAGTGCAAAGAGGAGCCCACAAACAAATACAACAGACCAAAATTCCTCCTGGGGAAACTCTGTAGAGATGATTCTTGGGCCTGTTAAAAATCTTATCTCAAGTCTCTTTGTTCCTGCTCTCTCATCCATTAGGTCACATCCTTTTCATAAGGTCACAAAGAAGGATGTCATGGTATATAATGGCAGCTATAAACACACATACAAATATACACGTACATGGGCACTCCTTTCTTTTGGCAATGTATCAGAGTACAATCTAACCCTACAAGTTGTGCTGGGCATAACATCTATAAATATCTCCTGGTTGAACGTATCCCAGTGTAGATCTGTAGCAGTGGCATCCCGTTCATACCTGAGCAAGCTGCAAGTGACTGTGACAGTATTCAAAACTGCTGAACGGTCTGCAGCTCACAAGAGGTCCAAGTGGAGTTTTTCACTTGGAGGCTGACAACATGTGACCAACATCAGCTGCCATCCCGGTGTAGGTGGGCTAGATAATCAACACCTCTGTTGCGGGGGCAACACAGCTCTAGGAGGAAACAAATTGAGAAAGACTGCTGAAATCAGCATTACCTCAACACCCTGGGTCACGGTGCAAGTTAGTCCTGCCCTACTACACAACAGAAAAGGAATATGCCTGCTAAGCCACTGTTATCTCCAGCTTCAGGATCACCATGAATTCCTGCAGTCCTTGGCTCTCTTGAAACATAAAGCGTGGCTCTTGGCCATATGACAGTTTTGATATGATACTTGTAAAGTCAGGAGGCTGGCTTGCTCAAGGCTAAGGCCTGACGTTCCAAGCCCAGCACCTGCGTAATCACTTCACCAAAGTGAAGACTGAGTGAAGGTTTATGATGTTTCTAGACCTAGCTGCAGATTATTGCTGTTTTGTGTGGGTGTGTTTCTTCCCTCAAGCGATCTGCTGCTTCTCTAGCTAACGTAGAAAGTCCTCATTATGGCTCTTAACACTGTTATTATCACAAGTCTGTCAGTCAGAGAACTCCTATTACACTTTCACAGAATCACAGAATCGTTTAGGTTGGAAGGGACCTCTGGAGATCATCTAGTCCAACCTCCCTGCTCAAGCAGGGTCACCTAGAGCATATTGCCCAGGATCGCATCCAGACGGGTTTTGAATATCTCCAGCGAAGGAGACTCCACTACCTCTCTGGGAAACCTGGTCCAATGCTCTGTCACCCTCACAGTGAAGAAGTTTTTCCTCAGGTTCAGACGGAACTTCCTGTGGTTCAGTTTCTGCCCGTTGCCTCTTGTCCTGTCGCTGGGCACCACGGAGAAGAGACTGGCCTCATCCTCTCAACACTCCCCCTCCCCCCCCTTCAGATACTTGTACACACTGATGAGATGGCCTCTCAGTCTTCTCTTCTCCAGGCTCAACAGGCCCAGCTCTCTCAGCCTTTCCTCTCAGTCTGGAGAGATGCTCCAGTCCCCTAGTCATCTTTGTAGCCCTTTGCTGGACTCTCTCCAGTAGTGCCATGTCTCTCTTGTACTGGGGAGCCCAGAACTGGACACAGTACTGCAGATGTGGCCTCATCAGGGCTGAGCAGAGAGAGAGGATCACCTCCCTCCACCTGCTGGCAACACTCTGCCTAACGCACCCCAGGAGACCATTGGCCTTCTTGGCCACAAGGGCACACTGCTGGCTCATGCTTAACTTGTTGTCCACCAGCACTCCCAGGTCCTTCTCGGCAGAGCTGCTTTCCAGCAGGTCAGCCCCCAGCCTGGACTGGTGCATGGGGTTATTCCTCCCCAGGTGCAGGACCTTGCACTTGCCTTTGTTGAACTTCAGGAAGTTCCTCTCCGCCCACCTCTCCAGCCTGTCCAGGTCCCTCTGAATGGCAGCACAGTCTTCTGGTGTGTCAGCCACTCCCCCCAGGTTAGTATCATCAGCAAACTTGCTGATACACTTTTTACCACTGCAAAAAATAACACTTTCCCCCTAGGTGGCTCTGAAAAAAATCTTTATTTTAAATGATTCTAGAGGACTAAAATGAGACGCTTTTCTGATTCACTGCTTCCAGAAATGATGCTGAGATTAAAAACTTAGATATGTTTCTGTAAGAGGGTATCAGTGCCTAGTGCAAAAAATAGCTGTATTGAACTTCAGTTCCATCTCCTGTGACAAATTAATTGCAATACAATACTGATTTCAGATTTTAAGCAAGCAGTTAACGCATTCCTTTGTATACTGCAAATCAAGACATTTTACAGAAAGCAAAAGCTTTGCAAGATATACTCTAGAAAGGAAAGGCAGAAATACGGATTAGGCTTGGAAGTGCTGTTCTAAAAAGTAGACACGCGGTGGCAGTGTGGCTTCTTTGTCTTCAGTGGGGTTTTAACAACACTGAAGAATTCACTTTCCCTCTGCACTGTTATTCAAATAAAATTAGAAGAAAGAGGTCAGATCTAGACATAACCCAGCTATTCCTGGCTATCCTACACTTGTATATAACACTTCCAATCATGTTATCCAAACTCTGTATAAATAAAAGGAAAAAAAAGAATGACACTTCATTTTCCATGTCTTCCTAAAGAGACAAATATGAATAATTTTGTGTGCAAGTAAGAGGAAGCCCTTGCTGGTGAGCTGTTTCACATCTAAACCGAACACCGCAATGTTTATACTTACTCCAGTTTCCATTGAGCTCCCTGCAGATGAAAATAATCTCCGTCCAGCATATCGTCAAAAACAGCTTGTTCCATCTAAATCATAACACAGAAAGAGGGGAAGGGAGGAAAGGAAAGAAGAGTGAAAGAACAAATATTACTACTCTAATATTACTTGAGTGGGGCTTCTGATGAAGAAAAGGTTGCATAGTTTAGGCCAAGCACACCTGTAAAGAACAACAAACAAAGTGTATAACGAAATTTCTGGTTTTGTGAGCTGCCTGAATCCATCAGACAGTGGACAGAAAATGGTCTTATGTATGTGATTCCTCATCTCTTAGTCACTAAATGCATCAAAATTAAATCTCTTTTTCAAAAATCTAATGAGCAAACATCCATCACAAGTTGCTATCCATTCAGGGATAATCCCAACTACATCTCTTTCAGTCTAAAATTGGCACAGGTAAACTATTTGCCTCTAGAAAAACTCATTTTTTGCAATTGACTGAATTTTGCAATTCAGTCAAAAAGTTTTTGCAATTTTTGCAATTCAGAATTTGCAGACCATCAATTTCTATTGATAGAGCAATCAGTTACATGAGATCTTATTTCCTTTGTGCAAGAAAATGTCTTATTTCATTTATATTTCAGATCTTTACTAAGCATTGTTAGAAATGCTGTGCAGGTCAGATTCTTTCTCCTCCCTACCTCAAACTTTCCAGTTAGTATTCCTAGTTACAGAGAAGGAAATCTGCCTTGGAAATCTCATGAAAGAGCTTTAGGCGCAGAGCACACTGCCATTCCTTTTGCCACAGATCTCACAAGCACATATAAACACACATACACATACTTGCAAGATAATAATAATTCAACGTTTCTCCCAACACACACAATGCCAATGTGCTAAGAATTTGTAAACCTGTAAGTATGTCAGTGGCATCTGAGCACGCCCTCTACAAGAGTATTTTCTAAATCCTGAATCCATTTCAGATGTATTTTGTGCATGAAACCGAATTGGTTGCAACTATAAAGACTAATCAGAATTCATGTCTGTTCTGGAGTTCAGGAATGGAGGAAAGGCAGGGAAAGGGGGGAAGGGGAGGAAATGTTTCACATTTTTTAAACTGTTTTCTAATCTCCTCACTCAGTACTCCTCACTCATACGTGCCTGTCCATTCTTGATGTCCAGAGAGAATGTAGTATCTATTGTTTACTGGAAATGTTTTTGTGACTTATCTGTGTTTCAGTAAAAGGTTCTAGCATAGTTTCTAACATAGTTTACATTCCTGCCTAGCTGTGATGTGTCTTCCCCATTGTTTTCCCTGCCTTATCCTGCCCATCCTTATGCTTCAACTTTTCTGTTACATTTTTCTGCCTGCTCATCACAGTTTTACCACATACCAGCTCCCCCTTCTCCACAAATCCCTGATCCTCCTTCCCAGGAGGTACCCTACAGCTTATCTCCGACCTTTCTGTTCCCATGAGTAACCTTTCCTCCTCGGTTATGAGGAAGGAGCGCGTCACTCCATCTCTCTTAATCACCGAAGGTATTTTCACATATTATAAGCAGCCACTAATGTGACTTCTCCTGCGATATGCCACATTACAGCAAAAGGGGATGACATTAGCCAGACCAAGGCACAGGAAAGGCCAGAGCTCCCTCCCTCCCCTTAAAGAAAAACAGAAGACGGACAAAAGTAAACCAGCGCAGAGCCAGAAGGATTCTGATGCCACAGCATGTGTCAGTAAGCAGGAGGCAATTCCCTAGAGTCCTGAGTTTTCAGGAAATCTTTATATACGGTGCCCCCGTTTCTTACTTTACGATTTAACTTGAGATAAGGATGATCTCAGTCCCGGTTTTTCCCCAGGTGTCCTGGGATCACTCTGTGCCCTCACTGTCATGTCTGAAGTACTATTAAAAATAAGTTATACCAGCTCGTTTTGAGTCCCAGTGTCTGTCTGAAGCAGCCACAAATAAAAGCCACATACATTTTTCACTTGATTTTAAGAAACATCAGCTTCTCCACTAAAATACCTGTGTTTAGTTTGTGAGGGATTTTTTGGAATTGTGCAACCCTTCACCTTTGACTTCTTCTTTCTTCCAAAGCAAACATGAAAGCCTGCACTTTCCCATCCACAATATGCTGCATGTTTCATTTGACTCCTCCTTAGTGTTTGTTTAAACATTAAGTCAAAGTTCTGCTCTGCGGTAACATGAGAAGTGAAGCCTTCATCCTGCCCCCATTTGCCTAGCTGTATTTCGACGCGTGAGAGGCTATTTCTGACAGAAAACGCATGCCCAAACAGCTGCAGGAGCAGACCCAGCAGGGCTTTTTCAGCCTGTCACTGTGCAATCGCCCCACCACTTCCTTACAACGAAATCGAGAGAAGGCGGCTTCGGTTCGTTTCCCTCTGCAAACCCTCGCCCGCCGCACCGTGAAAACCTCAGCCGGCATGACAGCCTCCCAAGCCGGCAGCCCTGCGCCCACCTGCCTACCGCAGTCCCGCCTGCAAGAGTTTTACCTTCACAGCCAGGCACCGCTGTATTCAAAGCACAGTCTCACCCCCTCGTACTTTTAGGTCAACAATTATATCCGCACGCAGGAAATGCAGCTACGTGTAAAATATATAAATGCGTCCAATACACAAAGTAATCCAAAAGAGCTATAATAGGAACTGCATTAGGATAAATGAATAAGAAGAGGTATACGTTGAAAACGGGTAGGTATATACAGGTTTTTGTGGGGTATACGTGTGTGTGTGCGTACCTACACAGCAAACACCTCCTGCCTGGGCTTTTCCTGTTCTTTGACGCCTCCCGAGGGTGAGGGACAGAAGCAGCAAAACTCCTCTCCGCCAGCCCCCACCGCGGTTGGGGCGGGGACCCCCCCCTCCCCCCCCCCCCCCCCGGGCCGGGGGGGGCCCCCCC